CCGGACTAGGTGCGTTCCTCTAAATCTTCCTACCAATATGATCAAGTTGCGAAAACAAGGTCAAACAACTCTTAATAGAATTAGAATTTTAAACATTTGTATTTCTTATAATGTTGTTCCTAGGTGTTGTTTACATTATAGATGATAAGAAGCCCTGGAACTATGAAATTAGAATTAGGTCGAGAAAATAGAGCCTAAGTTAAATCGTAGCAACCATGCTTGTAGCAAACTGAGGAAGGATACGGTAATCAATTCATAAAGTACAACTCATAATTGATAGTGCTTTCACCTTCTCACTTTCTCTTAGCTAATAAGGTGGTAATGTAACCTATAGCATTGGCCTCTATAAAGTGTTAATTATAGCTAATTTCCAGTTGAATTATCCTATGGGTAGTCTCAATTGGAATTGAATATATTTTTTTCATTACTTTCTGTATTGAACTAAGTGATTATTTTTTTCCTCCATATATTCCTTTCATGCATTACAGTTTTTGTCGTTCGAAACCAGAACTTCTTCATAAAGTAGAGACTGTACGTCAAGTTCTAGAAGTGGCCAAAAATAACGAAAATCAACTGATCTTCTTCAGTGCATTCCGTTTCTTCCAGTCTCTCAATAATGAATTGAGAGGAACTCCTAACTTCTTACCTGGTAAGACACCCTATTTTTCTGGCTTCTCGCCATTATATACGTCGTTTGCCTTAGAAGTATATCTGCTATACAAACAGCTGCTTCATCGCATGAGCAAGTTTGGCTTTCGGCTGCACTTGATCTATAAGCCAGCGCAGCTGGGTCGACTTATACCCCTAACTTTGCGTCGCTAATCTGGAGCTGTTTCGAAAATTTAATGGAAGGCCAACTCGAATTAAGCATTAAATTACAATATTTTTAGTTGTATTTTGTCACATTACATTCGTAATTAAAAATTTTTCGCTTATAACTTAATCCTAGGCTAATATTGTTTCGGCCATAGACAAATCTCATAAAATAACAATGATAGATTCCTGTTGGTATGCTGCTTGCTTTTTTCGGTACGTTCATGCTATTCTTTCGCGATTCTTTCCTTCAGTTCCCGATAAAGCGTGCTAGACTTTTATATGGTATGTTCTTTGATGCAATACGAAATCTTATACATTCGGTCGTCTTGATTATTTACATTGTTCAGACCTAAGGTTGAAAAATCTTCCATCTACACGATCCTATTTAAATGAACCTCTGAATGGAAATGTCAATATTGATAAACCCTGTCTCATGTTACTTTTTATTTCTACTACCACTAATTATAATAATATTAATATTACTATCGGTAACATTAGTTGGTTTTAAATTCCGAAAAATGATTACTGCTGGCTCCTGATTGCTTTTTTGAATGAAAGCGATCCAGCACAAGCTGGTTTATCACAGTTAGAGTTAGACATGTAAAATACAATTTATACTGGAAGAGGAATTATTCTCCTAACTTTCTTCGGATTCAACGGCCGCGTGATCTTAACATTTTTATGCATACTTTTGAGTTCGCAAAATATTTTCGTAGTTCAGTTGTAATTTCGGTTTTATAGAACAAGTGATATCATCCTCACTTGTATTGGCGACTAAATTTCGGTCTCCTTACCAAAAAATAAGATGTTTACTCTCTTCCATTGTTGAGCTCACCCCACTTTCGATCGAAAGGGTTTGGTTAAAAAATAATAGGGTCGATCCCATCAGAAAACGTAAGTGGATTACTTTTGGCCAGCTGTCGATTGGCTTTATCAGAAAATTATTTTGGCGTTTTTTCCGAGGTTAAATCCTTCTATTCTGGTGAAAACGTGCTGAATTCCTATGAAAGACATCATGAAGGCATGGTATCATTCTTAAATTGTTGGAGGCCTTCATTTCGTATGCAAGTTCATACAGAAGAGATTCATATGTCGATCTCACCAGAAGAGGACGGATGAATCAGGTTGTACTGCAGACGTTTGGCTTTTATACGACTTTCAGGTTGACGCAGTCCACTATACTTCCACCCTCATTTCGGGTGAAAATGGGCTGAGTTTTCGTCCATCATATGATGGACATTATCAGAGCTGGATCTCATTCTTGTAAAGGTCTCACGATAACATTATGGCAAGAAGAGTATCTGGTTCTATCTTACCTCTTATAAAGACTTAATGAAGCAAAAGAAAATTAAAAAACAAGATAGCGTGGTATGGCTAATTATCTTTATACGGGTCCTGCTACTTTTGCTCGAGTGCGTGTGTGTGTTAGCGTCTATAGGCAATACCGGTCACAAATCAGAGTTATCAAAAGAATAATGTCAGGCTCTGATCACCAAGGCCTAATGACCTAAGAGGAAGTCTTGACTGAGACTACGTAAGTCCGAGAGCAAGAATAGTTGAGATAATGAGATATGAGCTTGTAAGCATGTAAGTAAAGTTACGAAACCACTTGTCCTAGCCCCTCATTCTAGAGCTATTGACGTTTAACCCCCCAAGCAAAGGCATGACTGGGGTTGCGTGATCCGGCACGTCTGGTTTGGTTTATTAGCTTAATCTAACATGTAGGACGAGTATAAGTGAAGTTAGAACCATCACCGAGCAGACAAATTTAATCGCCTTCTTTTAGACGGCGACTCTACACCCTCTCCTTCAATCTATCAGTCAAGCATAAGTAGTTCCTACTCAACTTTATATCACTGTTCCTCACATTCAACGTATTTCCTAACTATAAATTTCAATAGTCTCTCATCTTTCTTTTAACCACAGACAAACCTACTAGTTTGTATTTCATGTCTAGTTTCTACAATCTGTTCGCCTACTTCTAATAGTTGGACCTAATTTACTTACATTTTTGTCTTTTCCCAATCTTTGTCGAATAAGTCGGCATGTCTCCCCAACATAAGTAGTCTACTAAATCGTGAAATGCCTCATTTTGATTGTAAAGTTATATATAGGAAGTAAGTAGAATCTCAGCTGGCCACTCTTCTTGATTTAGAGTTTTTGTTATTTGTTTGTAAACAATGGTTTTTGACTCTGACTATGCCCGTCACATGATGGATGAAAGCTCGGCATGGATTAATCGGGCTCTCAGGCCGGTGAGCCAAATTTTTCGTACAATCCAAAAGTCACAGGTCCAAGGCAACCTTTCTTCGGTATCCGGTGAAGCCAATTTACGAATCCCTTCCATTCGCCATTTTAAACTAAGTCAAAGGTATTGTTGTATTTATTTCCTTAAATTAACTTTGTATGTTCTAACTCATTGTGACTCCTAAAAGATTACCTTCGTCTGATGAGAGAGTCTTTTCGGAGACATGGATAAATGAAATGCAATGGCATCTTGTAAAAAATTTAATTGTCGGCCCTTAAATTCCAAAATACTAGACTAATCTGGCAAAGATATGATATTCTAGAACCCTTGATTTATTTTACTAGAATATGTGATTACCAAGATGGTGTGGCCCTCGGTATGATCGCAGCCTCCTTTTAATTTGTAGAAGTGGGTTAACCTCGTTTTCACAACTTGGTCTTGTCAAGACGACCTATTTGAATGCATCTTTCCGAAGTCCTCTGTCATCATAGTTATCATAATTCTTAGCATCAAATCGTGGACTTGAACAAGTGCAAGGCCTAGCAATTGGATCTTGTTTGGCTCCCATTTTAGCTAATAATTAAATACCAAGAAAAGGGAAGAATGCTTTATGGCAAAGGTAAAATTGACACCAAACCTGTTAGTTGGATATATATATGACTATTTTGCCATATGGCAGTATGGTAAGGATAGTTTAAATAATTTCTTAAACTTAATTAACCAGATTGATTGCAATGCTAAGTTGATGGGGAAGGACAACAATTTACCAATTTTGGATGCCTTAGTGATCAGAGCAGGCGAGAAGTTAAGCAGGAATGTATATAGAAAGCCAGCACATGCTGACTTTATCCTTAATTTCTTCTCTAACTATAATTATACAACAAAGCTTGGTGTTTTAAAGTTTATGCTTGTCCGGAGCACAGGACTAGTGGAGAATGTATAAAATCCACGGTCTGATGCTAGGAATTATGATAACTATCATGGTAGAGGACTTGGGACAAGGTGCATTCAACTAAGTCACCATGGAAATACCTAGTTGTAAAAACGAGTCCAACCTACTTTTATTGTACTACAGTTTTCATTTCGAAGGAGAAGTTGATTGGATCCGCCTGCAGACCGATTTACGTATACTTAGTTTCACTATCTTAATGAGGCATCCCATGATAATGGTGAAGCATGTATGACTAATTATGAAGCTGACAGGAGCCCTGAAGGCTAGACTTAAAAGTATATCCCAACGATCGGTAAATACCAAAGAACTGGGGAAATCTAAAGAAAATGCTTTACTCTGACCAGATGCTATCAATTGTCTGCCCACAATTCATAATACAGGTACCCCACATTAAGGTATTGTAAATATTAAAAGTATCGTGGTGCATTAAGCATAACGACCTATTTGTAATCAGCCAAAAAGAGTACTTAAACCTTGAAAGTTTTTAATAAGGAATTCTTATGACTTTACAAATCTAGTATCTGAACATAAGACATAAGGCGAATGACTGGGATTCGTAAGTTGGCCTCACCGGAAGCTCTATGTGAATTACCTTTGAGCAGTTATTGTAGCTTTGTGCGAAAAGGTCCTCGGCGCACCACCATTCGATCCCGATGAATCCTTGCTGAGTTTTTGTCCGTCATGTGTCAGACGCCGTCATAGCAGGATGATTAACCAAGCACAAAGACAAAAAAAGTTGGCCGAGTACAATCCGACCTACCTTTTATAGTCTAGCTATGCCCACGTAGTAAAACATCTCTTCCTAATCCTATTCAATAGCCACAATTAGGTTCCACTCAATTTCCTACCTCCATTCCTTTTACTCAGTATGCTGGTCGTTTTGTTTATGTTTATTAACTCCCTGGTCATATAGTGTTGGTTCGACCCTCTTTTCGCAACTTGGTCTGAGCGCCAGGAAGAACTTGTGGAACGTAGCTAGTCCCGTATCCTCTTCTATAGTATTCGTGGTTTCCAGCTTTGGACCAATGACTGGGTATATTTTCAAACGTTTCACCAGCATCATCAATGAGAGGCGCCATCATAAGCACAGAGTGGATTTAGTGAAACGTAATGATCTCCACCACCGGTACAAGATGGTACTGAACCAACTCTTAGGCAACATAGGAGGAAACGAAAGTGCAGAATTGTGTGAATAAGTGGATGGGTTATATAAAGTGGGATTGAAAAAAAGGGGGGGGACATTTATTTTGTATGAAAGTGCATAAAGAAGAGATTCGTAGGTCGATCTCATCAGAATAGGATGGCTGAATTCCGTTGTATTACAGCCGTTTGGCTAATAGAAGACGTTCAGGTTGACGCAGTCCATGAGACCTCCGTCTTTAAGAGTGACAACAGGCTGAGCTTTCGTCCATCATATGATAGACATCATCAGAGCTAGATCTCATTCATGTAAAAGTCTCATGTTAATACCAGGGAAAGAAGGCTATCTGGCTCTATCTTACCTCTTATATAGGTTCAATTAAGCAAAAGAAAATTAAAAATCAAGGTAGACAGAATAGTTTTTCTAATAATCTTTCATAATGCTACTGCTACTTTTGCTCGTGTGTGTGTGCTAAAGCCTATACACAATATCGGTCTTAAATCATAGTGATCAAAATAGGCAAATGTTAGGCTCTTGTCATCAAGGCTTAATGACCCAAGAGAAAGCCCTGACTCAGACTGCATAAGTTCGTGAGCAAGTATGGTTTAGATAATGAGATATAAGCTTGCAAGCATGTAAGTCAAGAAGCCACTTGTCTTAACCTC